GTTGTTGTTGTTGTTGTTGTTGTTGTTGTTGTTGTTGTTGTTGTTGTTGTTGTTGTTGTTGTTGTTGTTGTTGTGTTTAGCTTCTTCCACAGTGACATCAGTGGTTTGTCTGATCATCACGTTATAACGAGCCTTTTTAAATGGCTGACTGAAGACCTTATATTTAGTTAATTTTGTTTACCTGAACTGAATTAGTTTGCTGCATCTGATTAAATGACCCCAACATAATTACAATAGCTTAATTGAACATTTATTAAACCTTTACACTGTAGAATAATAATTAAAAAAGAACTGAACACGCAAAGATCAGTTGTGTTTACAGGTGTAGTGAAATGCATTGAGTCAGATGGTACAGAGTTCAGCTTTGAGGTGGTATCTCACGCTGCCACGACTCTTGGGCAAACGGTGATTGTCTCCAGTTTGTGCTCTTGAAGGTTCTCAGTTTCATCTTGTAGGTCATAGATGCTCATGAACCTGTTGTTTATAATGACGTTTTCCTCTGAACTGTCACGTTGGACGTCTCTGACCAATCTCTGGAGCACAGAACCGTATTTTGATACCTGCAAGGGAGCTCTTCGCTGACGGAGAATATCTGAGGCAAATGCATCAGATTAAGCCGTAAATTTGGAGATGGCTCCCAAGGTGGGTACAAAGCAGACCGAGGCGTGTGTATGTGGGCAACAAAAATACTCTATGTCCAAGAATGCAGTATTGCAAGCGACACAATAGTATGCAGGACGTACCGGTAGTTTGAAACAAGTAGCCGTGCTTAAATGCAGCCTTGATGGTTACTTTGTCTCAGACGGATTTTAATGAGACTGCAACAGAAAATTCACTTAATTTCTCACAATTTTGAGTTTCCAACTAGTCTCCCAATACACTAATGACATGAGTTTGGTCTACGGTTAGGAAAAAGCAGATTTTTCCTTCCATGACAGAGTATGATTGGGTATATTCCACTGAACCCACAGTCTGTTAGCTGTTTGAGGGACAAGGAGAGCCTAGAGCAAGTGACTGAGCGAGGTGGGGGGAACTTGCGCCACTCATTTAGTCTGATCTCACAGGAAACGTTCTTTCTTCACAGCGAGCTGCGCATGTGAATACTGAGAAGTGGTGCAACCCAGGTAGATTAACCTGTTGTGCAATGACAGTGCAGTCAGAAGGAGTAGGTTTTTCCCTCTCAGACACCTGAGCTTCACATGTGGTGTAATCTCAGTCTTGCGATACCTGACTCAGGATAAAATGATGAGTATTTCTCTCTTTGAATCAGAGTGACCATCCCTTCTATTTATAAAGATGAATGAACCCAGCTTCTCTGATGCACACATCTACCAGTAAAAACCATTTTGATTTTAAATCATTTTAGAAGAACATGACTTGATATGAAAATTAAAAATAAGCAAGAAAATTATAAGGGTTGTACTAATAGGGATGCACAAATACCGTTGGGTATCGGTTCTGATACCGCAGTACATATACTGCTTTGCTGTAGTCTTGTTCAGCCCTGTAGTGGTGGAGTTCTTAGGTGTTTGTCCTGGTCCACACTCTTTATGGGTTGGTGGACATAATGCACCATAGTGTTGTTTGGTAACCACACAAGAACACCAGAAGAAGAAAATTGTGGTGAGATTATAATGTGAACAATGGGGACAAAGTAAAACTGACTTTAAATTCTCAGCAAATATGTCAAGAAGAGGGACAAATGGAGCACAAGGGGTTTAATAAAACATCTAAACATCTAGCAGGACGCCGAGTTCAAAGAGGTTTCTACCAGCAGCGGGGAGCGGCTGCAGTCTGTCAATAAAGAGGGAAGAGATGAATATCCCGACTCTGATGAGTTAGCTCGATAAGTAATTCCTCTGATTTTCAAACACAGTTATGGTATGAAGTGCTTGTGAGGCAGAGTGGGACAGAATCAGATTCACATATTTATCATCAATAATGTATTATTATGGACAGGAAAATCTAAATGTTGTCACTTGAGCAGAATATTCAAAGAGAACTATGTTTTGGTTTTAATTTCAGTGCACAGCTGAAAGTGTTTTTAAAGACAGATGAGAGCAAGTGCGTGAAGTAAATATTCATATTTAGTTTATTATTGTCTGTATTCTGTTTTTATTACTCTTAGTGCTTCTTCTGATTGTACGTCAGTAACTTGTATTGGTACTCTGTATCATCAAGTACTATTTGTTGTGAAAAAATGTATCATTGAGTCTCTTTGTGATACTATTTCATGTTCACAATCACAAAGACCGTCTGCACATGTTACATTTCTAAGCAGCTCTACGCTCACAGCTGACTGGGATCAGGTCCAACAGAGACACCCTGCAAGGATTCAACCACAGGGTTAGTTTTAAGAGCCGGGATCTCAAATGTGCAGCTGACCCCATTTCAACACAAGCAGCCTAAAATAGGCTGCGTGCAACAACAAAGTCTGCTTGAACTTGGCTTTGATGTGCCTTGTGTTATACTGCAGAGGAAGGCTGATGTTGGTCAGGATCCTTCCATGCAGCCAGTCACTTTGAGAAGAGATGCTTCTGCAGTTGACAAGAATAAAAAACACCACGGAGTTAAGGCAACCGATTTTCTGTGAAGACATTCAGAACCTTCCATGTTGAGTTTAGTAGACTTGGATGAGTTCTTTTCTGCGTAAGACCTCTAAGACAGCTGGACGCTTACAGTTTATTTAGATCTCAGGAAGAGAAATAGTTCAACAGTACTCAGATCTGTCGGTTCTTGTCCTGGTTCTTAGAAATGTTCTTTTAATGCATGCATTCCTGTTGTGTAACTTTAGTATTTTTGTAGTATTGTTGCACAGTTTTAGAAAAGCTTTTGTGAAATATTATTGATTAATAAGACGATATCAATTGTGATAAATCCACATTTTCCACACTCTTATCCTTCATCTCCATCATCTAAACCGTCATGAAGACCAGCGAGTCTGTTGGACTTACTGAATAAATAATTACCAATGGTCTGATATCGCTGTTTGTAAAATGTTGCATTTATGCTGTCCACACAAGAACAAAATGATGGCTTTTACCTTTTCTCACTCTGGAACCTGGTTTTTAAGGAAATAAAAGTTTCTTAAAACACTTTTTCCATGTGAACACAAATGCTATAACAACAAAACCTCTTTATTTAGCCACACTTCAGACATTTTCAATAATAATTTAACAATAATAAGAGATAACAGTAATTTTATCTTTAATTTCAATTCAATTTCAATTCAGTTTATTTATATAGCCACAATTCACAACAAAGTTGTTTCAGGGCCCTTTACAGGAACATTCACATACATAAAAGCATAATCTGATTCCTCATTCTGGACCAGCTGTTAGATGTGTGGATCCTGGCTGGAAGGTGTATGCAGTTGTTTCCTGTGGCTCCGGCTGAACGCTGAGAGTTCACAGGAGGGTTCAGAACACCAACTGTTGGTCCAAACAACGTTTAGAACAGAAGCTGCTGATGTTAGACCACCTGAGTGCAGGAATGATCTGAGGACATCCAGTGTCTCTTTGCTCTGTGATGCTCATTCATTTCCTGGATGAGACGTTTAATGAGACGTGATGACGAGTCCGCTCGCTGACTGCAGAAAACCAAACGGGTTCTTAAATCGACCCGGGTCCAGTGCCAACCCTGGACTAGAACTGGAACCTCTTTAGTAGAAAAACAGCCACTCAGAGGTGATGGGCTCCAGTTCTCTGTGGCTTCAACTTCTGGGTTTTGGTTCCGTTATGAGACATTTCAATGGTGAGGACGCTCACACAGACCTGCCAGAGGAGTTTATCTGCCGTATAGCTCGCCATTTAGAGTTATCAGTCGACAGTATTTAACATTGTCGACAGTATTTAACATTTTTCTAACTTTTTAGTCCAGTTTGCACAAAGTGTTTGATTCAGGACTCTGCATTTGGATGTTGGTTTCATTTTAGCTTAAAGAGTGAAATCTGAAGGGACTGTTATAAACAGAAGTGCCTATGGTTCATACAGTTTTTTTAATTTGTATTTTTTTATTCTTTACATTTCATAGAAGTCAGCTTTGTGTGTAACAGCAACATGTGATGCAATTAAATTTGTACCTTCCATCCATCCATCATTATCTTTTTCTGGTCGCGAGGATCACTGATGCCAATATCCAACAGTCACTGTGAGAGAGGATGGGGACGCCTGGACAGGTCTCCAGTCCATCACAGGGACGCCTGGACAGGTCTCCAGTCCATCACAGGGACGCCTGGACAGGTCTCCAGTCCATCACAGGGACGCCTGGACAGGTCTCCAGTCCATCACAGGATACATTTGTACCTATACTTTTGATAAAGGTGGGTTAGGGTTAGGTGGTTCTCATGTGTTTCTGTATTTTGATGCACCTTATTTGTCTTCAGCTTTGATTTA